GACAGAGAGGGAGATTAAGCAGTCCTGTTTTTACTCCCTAATATACACAGATGTGCAGGCAATAATAAAGGGATACTTCAGATTTTCTGAAGTGGGGTTCTGTGGAATGGTCAAAATAAGCTATTTCTACAAACTGGAGCTATTCAAAGAGTTATATACACTTTAGATATTATTGTTCATAATCTATGCACAAAACCCTATTTCAGAACATCTCAACTTTTGTTTTTAAGTTAAAACAGTAAAAACAAAAAGCCCAGTAAAGCTAGTTGAACGTCACCGTCTTTATCACAGCTGTTGTTAAACAAAACTCCACTGAAGAGAAGTTTAGCAACTCACAGCCCTTTAATATTAAAATACTAGAAAAAAGCAGCAAAGTCAGAAAAATATAGCACACACATTCCTGTGTGGAAAAATAGACATTTTGGCCAGAAGTTTGGTGATGAAGTTTCTTGTTTCTGGGGCAGTAGCTGCCTGTGTAAACACACACACATTTGTCCACGTGTGTGTGTGAATGCAGTGCTGTCCTCATCCCTGAAATGTTAAAGAAATAAAGTGTTTTATTTTACATAAAACAGCTCAGGCTGAGAGTCTTGGGGTTACAAGATGAAACAGAAGATGTGTCGCAGTACTTTAGGATTGTCAAAACAAGAGGAGTAGGAAAGTGATTTTTTTTTTAGTGTGTGTGTTTTCATTAGAATTTTACACATTCTCTTAAAGCTTGCAACTGATTTCCCCGCTTCTGTTTGATTTGAAAATCGGAGGATACCTTTTTTATTGGTCTCTCTTCATCTGATCTTCCAAGATGTCTCATCAGAAGACATCACTGTTACATCTGTTGTTAAATTCATCTCGCCGCACCCAGATTACACTGTGGTCCTTGTCTGTGGCTCCCTCCACAGCACATTGCTTTAAAGGGACAAGCTTCACTGCTGAAGTTCCACAGGAAGAGGTGGGGATGCTACAGGATGTAGCAGAACCAGCATTCTGCTTCATTTCACTTCTTGTCTCAACCTGTCTGTTCATCACTCTGCTCTGCAGGTTCAGTCCTCCCATGTTCTCCTCCAGAGGCCGAACAGATTTGCAGTATTCGTCGTCATCGCTCAAGATGTCCGTCTCCTTCACCTGCTTCGCGTCAGTGCCGTCACATTGGTCTTCGTAACGGCTCAGGTTGAACTGCTCTTCCACCCAACAGTCTGTGTCCTCTCCTTGAGGTTTATGAGACTGATGGGGTCCATGAAAAAGATGCGGTGAGCTGGAGGAAGGATACGATGAGTGCTGTGAGGGGTCGGCATCAGTGTAGCAGTTGTTGTTGTCGCCGTGGAAAACCAGGTCCGTATCTACGGTGATGCGGCTCCTCACCAGTTTTCTGCGAGCCAAGTTTCGAAACGGAGCCGATTCTAAACAAGTCAACAAAGAGGGATAGAGAGAAAGTTATTAGATATACAGTAGTCACTCGCCACTTCGCAGTTTGATTTTCATGGACTAGCTCTTTCATGGTTTTTCAAAATAAGATTGTACTTTGTACATGAGAAAAAAAAATTGCACACAACACATGACTGTCAACTTTAATATTACTCACGTGATTGTGACAGCACAGTATAAAATTAACGAAAAAATAAAATACTTCAGACAAGCGGCACATTTTTTTTGTTTTCTCTCAATAAGCCTACACTATCCCTGCTCAAAACCACTACATTTCCCAGAAGCCCTGTTGCTTTCTGCTAAAATACTAGAGGGAAAGTTTTGATCTGATTAGAAAAATTTTGGAGTTCATCACAGTGACTTTGGCACCCAGCGGATTCAGAGAGCCGCACAGAACCCACCGGGAACCAGACCAGAACGGAAGCAGAATCAGACCTCCAGACCCATCGGCGAATCCGAGAGCTGCTAGCCGGACTAGGTGGACCTCCGAGCAGGGACATGCCGTCTGTATGTGCGGCGCTATTTCTGGAGCCCACCAGGACTTTTTCATCCAGACTTGGACTCAGTTGGACTACCTTCAGTCCCGCACTGGCCACCCGAAGGTCACCCCCCCCCCCCCCCACTCCAAAAAAAAAGTGCACTCAAGGGCTGCACAGAACCAGACCTCCAAACTCCTTGGCAAATCTGAGTGCTGCTAGCTGGCCCACGAGGACCTTCGAGCGGGGATGCGGGGTATGTCCGGCGTTCCACCAGGACTTTTTCAGTTCAGATTTGGACTCAGTCAGACCGGAACCGAGCTGCTGTTTCTGCAGAGCTGGTGAATAAAGTTTTGCAGTACTGTACAGATAAAATTACATAGGTATAAGAGTTTAGAGCATCGTGGTCTTCATCGTGGGCTTCATCGCTGCGGGGTAGGTCTGCAGAACCAGAAAACAAGCTGCTGTACACTCAGTCAAGTTAAAATTTCAAGTGAAGCGAATAAACATGATCAAGTTATCTTAATTAGTTCATTCAACCTTTATTTAGACAGGTTAATCCCATCGAGCCTCAAGGACTCATTTACAAGAGGGACCTGATAATAAACTCTTGCTAAATAAACTTTTACTTTAGTTTAGTTGATTTAAATTTATTAGTTGACTGAATTGTTTTGGTGTGTTGTTACAACTCAGAAATCTATGACAATTTAATGTAAGTGTTCAAAAAAAATGCTAACATAAATATAGTGTTCCTACTTCGCTGATTTTCACCTATGGCGGGGGTGTCTGGAACGCAAACCCTGCGATAATCGAGGGACTACTGTATGTGTTAAAGTCTGCATAGTTATAGTTCTTTTACACTATACCTGCTCTGCTCATGGCAGGTCGGGCACCTTTGAGGGCCTGCAGGCGTTTGCCACCAAACGGGACGTACTGCTGGTTGCGAGGCAGAGACTCCGACTTAAGGAGCTGCCGGCGCTGCTTCTCCCTAAGGATGGAGTGCACTGCTTTCAGCAAATCCTTTTTGCTGTCTGGAGAGCTGCAAACAATGCAAAAAAAAAAAAAAAACATAAAAAGACAAGATAGTTCACTGATGAAGGTTCTTCAGTTTTATGTTATATAGTTCACGTGTGCAAAATGTGGGTATCTTTTACAAAAGTACCTGCAGCACAACTGGAAGACTCTCTCTGGTCTTCCTTCAGATTCAGACCTTGTGTGGACAATTTCACAAACTGCTGAAGCTTCAGAGTCTGAGAAAACAGGAGTCAGACCAGGTAGATACAGAGTTAAAATCTATTAGGATCATTTAAACAGCATTTATTCAATCACAATCTTCAACACTTTGATTTAAAACATGAATGTTTTCATTTTAAACTAAACTTGTGCACACTGTGGTTATAATTATAAAAACGGTGCTAAATGTAGCCCGAGCACCACGGTTTGGGGTTCAAATGATCAATAGTTGTCATAGTCTGTGTCTTTTTGGTTATTTTAGTTTCTTTCTCCTTATGGTTTTTTCTTCTTCTTCTTCTTTTGGTTTTTATTGGCGGTTGGCAACCAACTTAAGGAGCATTTACCGCCACCTACCAAACTGGAGTGTGGTCTTCAGTGATGTCAGAGGGAATTTAACATCAAATGACGTGTATGATGTATATATGCCCACCCTGACCCTCACTGAAGTACTTGTATGAATATGCAGCGGCAGACTATATCTGTATACTCAATATTAAACTCGATTTATTATTCCCGTGCTATTCAAAAATTTAAACAATTGAGTCGCAACATATCTTGATCCATATCCCAATAGATTGAACAAGGACATTTCTATATTCTTTTTGTTCAGTGAGGATTTTAAAAGTTGGCGTTCCTCTGAATATTTCACACACTGTAACAACACGTGTTCTACTGTTTCCTTGCTATTACAATAATTACAATTCCCATTTTCATGCTTACCTATTATGTACAAAGAATTATTAAGCCCAGAGTGCCCCATTCTGAGTCTAGCCATAACTACTTCCTCCTTTCTCCTTCCGCTCGTATACTGTATTTATTATCCCCCACATCCTTTTGAATTTCATATAACTGTCTTCCGTTATCATTATTATCCCATTGTTCCTTCCAGTTTTTAAGAATTTCTTTTTTTACAATAGATTTTCCTTCACTTTTACTTAATGGAATATTTAATTGAACTATTTTCGACTTTAAAGCCTGTTTCGCCAGTATATCCACTTCCTTGTTACCTTCTATACCTGCATGAGCAGGGATCCATATAAATCTGATAAAATATTTTTTATTTTGTATATGTAATAGTAATTGGTTTATTTCAAATAAATCCAATCTGCAGGACTGCCAGACCTTATACTTAGCAATGCTGCTTGGCTATCTGATGCTATTAAATACTGGTTTTCTCCCTCAATGTTATTATCGATCAACCATTGTAATGCTAATATAATGGCTGATAATTCAACCGTATAAATTGCTAAATGGTCAGCTGTTCTCTTAAGCAAGACTTTATGGTGTGGGATATTAATTGCTGCTCCAGTTTTACCAGTTATTGGATCTTTAGATCCATCTGTATAAATGACAATGGTATCTGTATACTTTTTAAAGTACTTATCAATTACCTTCCATACTGGTATCTTTGTTTTTTTAATAAGTTCCCCCAAATGTAGATCAATGTCTGGATATATAAATAGCCATGGTGGAATTGAATATTGAGGAGCTGTCATACTATATTGGAATTTATTTAAACCAAGATTTGTAGCTTTAATATTCCCAAGCCATCCAAAACTATTACAATTAGAGTTATGTTCCCAACAGTCTTGGAGCACCTGCTTAGTTGGATGAGCTTGCTTATGTCCTTGTAGATTTTTCCAGTACAAATGCATTAGCTGCAATCTATGTAAACGTAACGGAATTTCACCATTTTCTACCTGTAGCGCCGCTAATGAAGTTGATCTAAAAGCTCCCGTACAAATTCTCAGTCCTTTTGTTTGCTCAGTATCCAGTTTTCGTAAATGACTGTCTGCTGCTGCCATGTATGCTATACATCCATAGTCTAATGATGATCTCATGAGGGCCTGATATACTCCTAACAGTGCTTTTCTTGATGCTCCCCATTCCTGTCCAGAGAGACATCTTAATAAATTGTTAACTTTTTTACATTTATTTTGAACTGATTCAATATGTTGTTTCCATGTCAAACTTTCATCAAAAAGGATACCTAAAAACCTCACTGTCTTTACCTGTTCAAGAGTTTGATTATAAAGAGTTAACTTAACATCCTTATGTCTTTTATAAAAACAAATTAACTTAGTTTTTGCTATTGACATCTTAAATCCCCATTTATTATCCCAATCTTCTACTTTCGAAATGGCCTTTTGCATCTTTTTCTGTAAATGTACCAGATTGCGTCCTCGCACCCATATAGCCCCATCATCTGCATATAATGATCTACCTATTGTTTTATCTATTTCATCAAATATATCATTTATCATGATGTTAAAAAGAATTGGGCTACACACACTTCCCTGCGGGGTACCATTCTCAACAGAGCATTTGGTAGAGTAATTCATCCCCACCTTTACTTCTATTTCTCTTCCATAAAAAAAAATCCAAAACCCAGTTATACATTTTACCTCCTATATCCATGTTCCTTAATTTAATCAATAATCCTTCCTTCCATAACATATCATATGCCTTCTCTATATCAAAGAACACTGCTATCACCAATTCTTTATTTGTTTGTGCTTTTCTTATTTCTGATTCTAGGCACAATATTGCGTCCATTGTATTTCTACCTTTGCGAAAACCACTTTGATACGGGCATAATGCATTTTTTCTTTCAATAAAATATGTAAGTCTATCTGTTACAAGCCTTTCCATTATTTTCCCTAATTGTGAGGTAATTGCAATTGGCCTATAATTAGATGGGTCATTTGCCTTTTTCCCTGGTTTTAACACGGGAATAATTATTGACCGTTTCCATTCTACAGGAATATGTCCAGTTTTCCAGATCAAGTTAAAGAACTTTAATAAAACAAAAATTGATGATTTATCTAAATGTTTAAGCATTGTATAACATATTCCATCTTTACCTGGTGTTGTTTGTCTAGAGTTAATAATAGCTTTTTGTAACTCATTTATATTGAAGGGCAAATCAAGATCTAGATCTGAAATTACTCTCTGAACATTTATGTCTGTGTTTTCAGATATTAATTTTTCTTTATTTCTTTTTATATCTTCAGATATATTTTCAGAACTATGTATTTTAATTATCATTTTTGCTAATAGTTCGGCTTTCTCTTTATTACTACCTGCTATCTTCCCATTTAGCTCTAGAACAGGTAAAGACAAAGTTTCTTAACCCCATTCATTTTTTTCATAACTCTCCACACCTCTGCTAGCTTGGTTTCCCTTCCAATCGAGTTGCAATATTGTCTCCAACATGTCTTTTTTGCTGTTTTTACAGTTTTCCGAACTATAGCTTGTGCTTTTTTAAATTGTATTAACGCCTCTATGGTATGGTATTTTCTTATTAATTTAAATGCTTTATTTCTTTCTCTTATAGCATTGCTACAATGCTCATTCCACCAGGGAACAGATTTTTTAACTCCTCTACCTCTAGTTTTGGAAATTGAAGTTTTAGCTGCAGTAATGATGACAGATACAATCTTTGAATGACACATCTCCACATCGCTAAACATTTTTATTTAGTTTATTAAATTGGATATCTACTAAATATTTAAATAAGTCCCATGGAGCCTTATTTAATCTCCATCTTGGTATCTGCCCTTCCTCCTCAATTTTTACTACAGTTCCAACTGTTATTTTAATAGGAAAATGGTCACTACCCATGGGAGAATCACTCAGCACCTCCCAAGATGTAATTCCCGCTATTGTATTAGATTCTAACGTTAGGTCTAGAATACTTCCTAGATTCCTATTACAGTCATATCTAGTATGACTACCGTCATTAACGCATACCATTGAATGTGATTCAAGGAACTCTTCAATTACCACTCCATTTGCATCTGTATTTTTACTTCCCCATAATTTATTATGAGAGTTGAAATCACCACACCACAAAGTCTTGCCAACATTCTGTACATTTACTTCATCGAGTTCTTGAATGGACAATTTTTTGTTCGTATTATAAAAATGTATCACTGTAGTCTGACAATTTTCTATCCAAATTTTTATTACTATTGCTTCATGATTTTTACTAACTGATTCTACTTTATATCTTAGACCATTCTGTATAAAAGTTGCCACTCCCCCACCTTGTTTTTTCCTCCTGTCATTTCTAATTGCTGAATATCCATGTATTATGAAGTCCAATTGGGGTTTAAGCCAGGTTTCTTGTATGCAAATCAGATGCGGTTTCACTATTAAATCAGAAATGCATTTTTTAAATTCTAATCCATTACTAAGTAGACTTCTAGCATTCCATTGAAGTATGGTTAACATGAGGAGGAAAGGCCACCGCTGCATGATTGAGTTTGAGAAGATTGTATCTCATTTAGTTTTGCTTTGATTGATTCCCAGCTGGGCAGCACGGTGGTGCAACTGGTAGAGCTGCTGCCTCTCAGCGAGCAGGTCCCTGGTTCAAACCCCGGTCCAGGGGCCTTTCTGGGTGGAGTTTGCATGTTCTCTCCGTGCATGCGTGGGTTTTCTCCGGGTACTCCGGTTTCCTCCCACAGTCCAAAAACATGCATGTTAGGCTGATTGGTAACTCTAAATTGTCCCTAGGTGTGAGTGAGAGAGTGAATGTTTGTTTGTCTCGTTTGTCTCTATGTGGCCCTGTGATGGACTTGCGACCGGTCCAGGGTGTACCCCGCCCCTCGCACAGTGATTGCTGGACATGGGCACCAGCGACCCCCGTGACCCAAAACGGAATAAGCGGGTAAAGAAAATGGATGGATGGATGATTCCCAGCTGACATTTTTGTAGTCTAGATATTTTTGAGCTGCCTTTACTATTATTTGTATTTTTTCCGTTTTTCTTTGTGTTTGAGCTGTGCAATTCACAACCTCAACCATGAACAACACAAAATCCTCCTTATTCATGATTAAAGTGTCTTCTTTTACTTTGCATCCTTCTGTAACATGCGATTCTACTTTTCCTGTTTCCTGTATGTTCTTTGGATAATTAATTGGTTTCACAGGGACTTTCTTTATAGGTTCAGCATATGTGATACCTGTAGAGACTTTAAGTTTTTGGATTTCCCCAGCTCTTTTACTAGCTTCACATCCCCTAAATCCTGAGCTATGTTCACCTCCACAATTACAGCATTTCAGTGGCACTCCTTCTTTACATTTCCCATATTCGTGGTCCCCAGCACATCTCCCACACTTCTGTTTTCCTTTGCATACTGCAGCTATATGTCCATATTTCTGACATTTAAAACATCGTAATGGTGGAGGGATAAATGGTCGGACATTATAACTGATATAACCCACAAACACCTTGTCCGGCAGACTTTTTTCTTCGAATTTCAACATTATGGAAAAGCTATCACTTTTTTCTCCATTTTTATTTCTTGTCAGTCGTTTGGCTTCTACCACTCTCCCTCCTGAGACATTAGATTTAATCTCCTCAATTGTCACCGTAGGATGTATACCGGAAATAACGCCACAAACATATTTTTTGTCATCAGTTTCCCACTCACATTTTCACCTAGGATTTTTCTTACATGTAGTGCTCTGTCTTTTTGTTTAACATCATTACATGTGATCAGTACAGATCCATCTCTAAGCACTTTTACAAGTTTCACTTTTCCAATTAGCGAGTTGATTTCTTTAGTAAGCTTAATCGGGTTTAACGTACCAAATGACATTCCTTCTTTAACAAACTTTAAGATGACTTTAAACTCTATCACCTTCACTATTTCATCTTCAGCTCCTGAAACTCACGACTCTACATGATGTTTTGCTTTTTTCCGTTTGTGTTTAGATTTATGGGTCTGCCATATCCCTTCATTTTCAACACCATCCCCTCCCTCTTCCATTTCTGCTAAATCACTTCCTGATAAATCATTTCCCTCTGACATCCTTCCAACCATTCACAGCTCAGCCGTGCCTTACCGCCTTCTTTCTCCCAACAAAGTCTCCACAAACCTCAAACAAGTGTCAATTGTCCACCTGGAGGAACGACTGTACTGGTGTCGCCTCCTCCAGCTGCTCTCGCTCACTCACTCGGCGCCCGACTTCCAAAAAAAAATAAAAAATAAAAAAGTAAAAAAATAAAAATAAAAAATAAAAAAACCTGTCAGCCTCTCACCTTTCCACTCACACCTGTTCCGCATGATTAATCACTCAGGTGCTGCCACTTTCCACTCTTCCTCATTCTCTAAACTACGTCTGACCACCGGTGGTTCCTTGTTCTTGACAATCCACTCAATGTCTCGGTCCTCCTCTTTGTGTTTCTGTGCTCCTTAGTTTCTCTTAAGTTTATCGCTGCCATGTCAGCTTTTTGTTTTGTTTCCGTTTGTTAATAAATCAGTTTTTATTTTACATCGAGCCCTCCATGTTTGCCGGCATCTGGGTCCAAAATAATGCTGTGGTAAATTTGAGAAGGCAATAAACCTGCAAAATGCTACTTTTATCTTTACCTTTTAAACATTTATTGAACAAATTTACTACTGTGTGATCAGAAAAAAAAAGACATAATAAAAAGAAAAGCTTTTAAATTGCTTTATTTGTCCAAATGATGGTAACTTTAAGACTGGAATCTGGAATATAAAACTTTTCCAAGATTTTTTTGATTATTCATATATGTTCTCTTTTAGCTCTTAGTTGCAAGGATTTGATTCTTAAGCTCCTAAAAACAGTTAAATTTGTTTAAATTAAAATATATTAAAAATAGCACCAGATTAATTTTTGGTAAAATACAGAAACATAAATTTACCAGACAATGACAAAATCAAGATCTACCAGGCAAACTTATTTAACAAAGGTACTAAAATGAAATGGGAAATGTCCTGGTGTTCAGGTTAAAACAATATTTTTTTGTATTAATCCAAATAAAAAAGGTTAAAAAAACTAAACCAGCTGGACTTTTATTCTAAAGCTGAAAATGTTTCTTTTCACATCCAAGAAGCTTTTTCAATTCCAAACTGTCTGGAGAGTCCAACAATGTTCAGTCAGCTCATCTGAACGTTTTTTTTTTTTTTAAGACGTTTCATCCGAAGGACTTCTTCATTCTGAGGAGCCACAAACTGTTTTCCCATAAGCAGTGCACTCCAGTAGTGGACCATCAATCCAACAATGTTGGACTGAACCAAATTCAATGTTTGACTGAACATTGTTTGATTTTTTTTTTTTTTACCTGGATTATTGAGCATGAACCTTGATGTCTGGAGAGTGTAGAGTTCTGAGCTTTATAGAACTGCATGAGAAGTCTCATTATCACATGCAGGTTAGACTGGAACTACTCACTCTCACAGTGGAGGCTCGTTAGACTCTTTATCTTCCAGCTCACGAGAGATAAGTTTGATCGCCTGCATGAAGAAGTGAACTGGAGCGGAGCTGACTGGGAATCAGGCCTAACACTGCACTGTTCCTTTTTGAAAGTTGAAATCTGAGACCTCCTCAAGAATAAATTTTTCAGGAGACTTTTTTTTTTTTACTGTGGTTATGCTACTTCATAAAAAAAAATAAAAAAATAAAATAAAATTTCATTTGTAGATTGTTGGGTGTAGTGCATTAAAACTCAGACTTACTTGGTAAGGCACAGACATGCAGAGATTTTGTTGGAATCATGTGACGAAAACGGAAAGAGTCTCTGTCTTCACTCACAGTTGAGCGATGAGATCCCCCCTGAAAAGAAAACAAAATGTGACCAAATACTCGATTACCGAAGAGCTGCAGTTCATCAACAAGGAAGCAGAGAGCACAAGAGTACAGAAAGTGATGACAACACAGCTTTCTGTTCTAATCTTTCCAGCAGTGTCATAAATATGCAAAAAAAATAATGTATTTAAATGATTTTTTTTTAAGCACAAAACCCTATTTTGAACAAAATGTACAAACAATTTAACAGTATGGTGAATGAATAGATAATTGAACAAAATCAAAGTAACAAATTACACATGCACATATTTTAGGAGAGATTAAGCTTCATTTTAGTTCACTTCTATCACATTTTGTATTTTATAATTTTTGATCATTCAGTGTTTTTGATTCGTCTGAGAATTGTGGTCTGATGTTTATTTAACATCTGGACAGAACCAAGCGCCTGGACCTGCTACATTTTTGCTTGTCTGTAATAGAAAGCTTAAAAATGAATTTGGCATCCATCCTTCATCTTCACCCGCTTCTTCCTTTTCAGGTTGCGGGGGTCACTGGTACCCATGTCCAGTCATCACTGTGTGAGAGATGGGGGACACTCTGGACAGATCTACAGTCCATCACAGGTAAATTTGGCATATACTATGTAAATATGACTTTTAATTGGGAAACCTCATGGTGCGGTGGCTGCAGTATTGCGGACTCTGTGCCAGTCCATTGTGGTGAAGAGGAAGCTCTCTGTTTACCGGTTGGTCTACGTTCCTACCCTCACATATGGCCACAAACTTCGAGTAGTGACAGAAAGAATGAGATTGCAGATACAGGCGGTTGAAATGAGTTTCCTCAGCAGAGTAGCTGGACTCTCCCTTAGAGATGAGGTGAGAAGATCAGTTATCCAGGAGAGACTCACAGTAGAACCACTGCTCCTCCACATGGAGAGGAGCCAGTTGAGGTAGTTCAGGCATCTGGTAAGAATGTTTCTTGCGTGCCTCCCTAGGGAGGTGCTTCGGGCATGTTCAACTGAGAGGAGACCCTGGGGAAGACCCAGGACACGCTGGAGAGACTATGTCTCTGTTGGCCTGGGAACGCCTTAGAATCCTCCCAGAAGAACTGGAAGAGTTGGCTGTGGAAAGAGATGTCTGGGCCTTCCTGCTCAAGCTGCTGCCCCCGTGACCCAACTTTAGAACAAGTGAAAAATTATGGATGGATGGATGGATGGTAAAGCATTTAAATTTTTAAATGACAGGGAATTCATCATTATGGAAATTTATTTGCAAACAAATCTCAAATCTGCTTATTGGACCCTTTTAAGATCAATCAGGGCCTGTAAATCAAACCTTCAGTGTCTCTTTGGTTTCATGAAAAAAAAAACTGATAAATGCTCCAACTAACTCTGTCTTACTGCATGTTAAAACTGAGCATTAACAAAAAGTACTTACAATTTTCTTCCTGTGCTTGGAGAATCCCTTGTGCACAAACACAACTGCAGTTTTGAACACTACAAGAAGAAATGGGAGATATGGGGTGAGGGTCTGCATTAACAAAAATAGAAAATGTGCATTTTATTACCTAATATATTACAATGATGATAATGGATAGTTTTAGATACAGTTTGACTTAAAGACATGCAGAAAAATGCTAATAAAAGTTGAAAATTGATCAAAATTAATATCTGTAGTGAACCTGATGACCTGATGATCTGACCCTTATCTGACCCTGATGACCTCAAATCTACCAGATGGACAGAGACTGTTATTTTCATTGATCTGAATAAGTCTGAGCCATCTGATGACTTTCTTTCTTGAATTAATCAAGCAGAAAAGACAATCCTCTATAATCATTACTGTCTTACAAATGTTTTGATAATCAAATTGTGTTAGTTTCACTCAATGCTTACAGGTTGAAAAGAACTACTCATTTTTATTTTACATAAACAGTAAGTAATGATTTTTATTCCTCATTCAAAGAAGAAATCACCTGAATATGCATTTCTTGATTTTCTGTCTGAAATGAGCCAAGTCGTAAGTATGTGAAAGTTGAAGCTTCAGTCAACTAAATGTTTACTGAACAAGAAATGTCATGTTTAACTATTTGAGAAGATAATCAGAATAGAGACTCCACGAAGTCTGCTTTTTGCAATAATCTCTCTGTCAGTTGTTAAACAAATCTCATTCCCTGACCTCGACTTTTGATAATACCTTACGTCAAAAACCACACCTCTTTCTGGTACATCCACGAATCAGAAAGCTCTAAATTGAACCGGAAGTCGACCCATTTAAAATGTGGCAACTTTCCAGTTCAAGTTAGTTCTGAAGTTCTGGAGCGGTTCTCATGTAGTTCGGAAGCAGTTCTGAAGCAGTGCTCAAGGAGTTCTGAAGAGAATTGGTTAGAATTCATGGAGAATGGTGAAGTGAATGGAAGAGAATTCGAGAATTCAGGAGAGTCAGAGACGTTGGAATTATAACTTCTGTTTGAACAACCCACGCACGACTATCTAAGGATTTCAGCAGCTCTCAACGGAGACGCTGAAAGGTCTGGAGGACTCTCTATCGAGCTGATCTATCATCAACAAGGTAACGGTCTCTTCTTCGACTAAAGTGTACCGGAGGCGAGCTGAAATCTGATGAAGCGTGCACGTTCTGGTCAACAGATATTAATTCTCTCACATATTTCTCTGTAAGATAATCTCCATTTCATCTTAAACTCTTCTCTCTCTCACAAAACTAGTACAGATATTTTAGAAATATCTGAAGCAAAGTCCTCAAATCACCGCCGAGTGATTTGAAGTTCATTATTTGTGAAACTGTCTGTTATTATTTTCATATTTTGCCAAATTAATGTAAATGTTTGATGTTAAACTTTGATTCTGAAAATAAATGACTCCATTCATTTTGATGGGTCAAAGGTAATAACGTCTCTCGTTCGCATTTCTGTTAAATTCAATGCACGGCATTACACAGTCAGAAAGATGAAGAACTCGTGAATATTGTATGCATATATATTTCATATATTTGTCATACTACAACTAGTGACACGTACCCACGTGACTCACTACATATCACATGGATGAGCTACTGTTTTTTCAAACCATCAACCTGGGGAGGAGGGTGTCAACTACCAGTAAGTGAGCATATTTAATATTTAACTAAAAATAAATGTAGGATAGGTAAACTTTTCTTATTGTCACGCAAACGTTTTTTTATTCAATGATTCTCTAAAAATATACCTAATTTTCAAACATGCAGAAAATTCAAGGTTTAAGGTGACATATAGTCATTCGCATCACGTGTGATACATGAGGTGGAACGAAATTGTGCACTCAATGTCCCAATTACATCCAAAAATAGCACAAATATCAAGTATCAAAAATAAACAGTATACAAGGATCTACAAGGATATACAAGAAAGGTTGAACGAATCTAAGATATTTGTTAAACAATAATAATACAAAGTATAATAGAACAAGGTGTATCATTGCCTTTTAGGATACATTTAAACAAACACTGAAAAAAATCATGATGTCTTTTGTCTAAATGTGTAAAATGTTTAAGAACTACTCTGTGTAGCCTCAATAGTAACTGGAGATCATTTTATATTTTGACTAGCTTGATGATTTAGGATCATCTTGAAAGGTTTCCCTTTCGGCTGCTCCCTTCTGCAGAGATTGCCTTAGCAAGCGAACTTGCATGAAAGATTTACCAATTGTTTTACATTGAATGCCGTTCCCAATGCAACCTGAGCTCAACCCTGCAGCCTCAGGACTATGAGAACGCAGAACTGACCATTTAGCTACCGCAGCCCCATCTAGTTGGATAGTAAATAAACGTTAAAAATCTATTTGGTTTTGTAAATATTAGTGACTTTTAAGTTCAGGTTTTAAAAGCATGGACATGGAAAATCAATTCTTGATTAACTTACCAAAAGCTGCTAATTCAACATCCTTTTTACTCTTGACCAGGTAGCCTGTAGGGTTCATCCACACTACGGTTGAATGCAGCAAAAGGTCCCCCATTGAAAGGTCAAGAACCTGGGATTTTAAAACAAATCAAGTTGTTAATGTTAATATGTTAGCGTGTTTAAGTAAAAAAAAAAAAAATCCTTGATCTGAATGGGTGTTACCTCTTTTTTATCAGAAGTCTGTTCATTGATGAGCTGGTCGAACACGGTTCCATACTCCTCGTGAAGTTTCTGCATCTCATTGATGTGACTTGCAACTTTGTTCATGGCCTTCATTGCAACTGAATGAGACAATCATTCATTAGCCATGTCTAAATTAATTACTGCTTCAGTGGTGATGAGCATAGATGATACTAAACCATTTTACAGGGTTAATGTGTGATTAAAAATAGACAGCAGTATACCATCCAGATGGTAGTGTTCTTCACTGTCCGGGTCAGTGAGGTAGTAGAGCTCCTTCAACAGGAGAGGGTATTTCAGAACTCTCTGGATGGGCTTGATCAGGTAAGACTCGAGAGTTGATGAATGCTGCTGTCTGGGGTTTCTCGCAGCCAGGAAAGCTTTGAACTCTGGGTCTGTTTTTGCTAGAGAAAAGGGGGAAATGAGCTTTCACTGATTTGATACGAGCGGCAGAAGAAAAACACAACTACCAAATAGTATATGAATAGAATTGAAGTCTTACTTCTAACCTACAAAGCCCTCAACAACCTAGCTCCATCTTATACTACCGATCTTATTGTTCCATATTTTCCTAACAGAGCACTTTGCTCTCAGACCGCAGGCTTACTTGTGGTTCCTAGAGTTTCCAAAAGCAGAATGGGAGGAAGATCTTTCAGTTATCAGGCTCTTCTCTGTTGGAATCAACTTCCAGTTTCTGTCCGTGAGGCTGACACATTGTCCAGTTTTAAGACTGGGATTAAGATGTTTCTTTTTGATAAATCCTATGGTTAGGGTTGGCTTGTTATGCTGCCATAGACTTAGATTACTAGAGGACAAATTGACCTCATTTCTTAAAATGAATTTTTTTAATTGAATAGTTTTAATTTGATACTATTTCTATCTTAATGTGATTCTCGACCAGCCATTGTGTATCTGTTCTTCTCAAACCCAGCCGGTTGAAGCAGATGGCCACTTGTCCTGAACCTGGTTCTGCTAAAGGTTTCTTCCTCATCAGGGAGTTTTTCCTTTCTACTGTTGCCTTCATGCTTGCTCAAGATGAGAGTTCTGCGATGAAGTTAAATTCAAAGCAGCTGCTCCTCAGATAATTAATGTTATTGACTTACTTTTTATGTATATTAATGTTTCTGTTCAATGCGCTGAGATGACTTCTGTTGTGACCTGGCACTATATAAATAAACTGAATTTAATTTAATTAAACTGAGTTGAAATAGTAGCTGAAGCATCTAATTTATGATTTTAGAGATCATCAGTTTGCCATTGGGTGCCAGCAATGCAGCTCAAGCAAGAATGTTGTGACTGAGCACTTTCAACCAGGAAGTGTCTGCCTGTATTTACCTTTAGCCAGGACCTTTGGGACTTTGGTGTGGCTGGCGCAGAAAGCACTGTATATCTTAAAGCGATCAGCATAATACAGGAACGAACCACCCAAAGAGAACAGCACCTTCTGTGAAAACAGACCTGCACATCAGTAAACTGGGAAAACTGTTTTGGGGAGCATGTTTCAAATTGGCTTTGATTGAACAGCTCTTAAAATAGCTGTACAGCTTCATTTAAAATAATATTAGTAAATGAAGCATGCAAGACTACAGATTCACGTTGAGTCACATGTTGCATGAAGTGCCAAAAGGAACTCAATTTAAGGGTACAACAAAGTGGGACCATCAAGGTTAAAAAACTCACAACCTTAAAATCCTCAACACTCTCCAGTCGGTCCAGATCAGGCACAAGTCTGATTCCATCTTCCAGTGTCTGCAGGAACTCCACCTGGAATTCCACCATCTCGCTGAGGTTTCCAAACAAATCATCCAGCTGCAAACACACACATTGACATTCACGTGAGAACAGTGTTAAAAATGTTCAATGGGGTGGTGCTTGAAAGTTTGGATCCCTTTAAAAATTTCACTTATTTTTCTTTACAATGAAAATGTGTTTAAAACTGATCGAAATCAATGAGAAAATTGTACTTCCTGTTTTAAAAATGTATCTAAGTGACTTAAACGTCTAAGTTTATTGCTGCTTTTGTTCAGATTTAGTTATGGTAACAGGCAGATTTTTGTTGTTGTTTTCCATTTTTATTCTTCTGTAGAATTTGCTGATTTAATTCAGACTTCTCCCTTTTTATTTAGACTTTAAATCCCACTGAGAGGAGTGCTTTACTTACAAATAAATAGTGCACAAACATTTATGATACTGCAAACACCAGGCCCAATGGTACCACCATTACCTGCGTTTTTTACATTTGATGAAGTATTATGATCAGTACCCTGATGCTAAACTCAAACAGTAATAAAATACACTATTAAGTAGGTTTTTATTTGAGTTAAAATATATTTACCTTATCTTGTGGGTGATGCATTTTGGTTTGTCTTTCTCCCACTGGTAACAAGTCCTCTTTAGTGCACGGTTTGACTGTGCACGAAACGAGGGCCTTTCAACCTAATGTGCATCAACAACTCTATAAAGTCTTGCAGTCTATTGTTTGTGTCACAATAAAGTTCTACAAATGTGTTTTGAAATTCTAACTTGGACAGATCACTTGACTCCACTTCCACATGATATAGGAGAAGTGCTTGAGCCGCTTACATGAAAGAAAATATACAATATTTTATTTGTTTGAATGGCCTAAACAAGACTGTCCTGGCGTATTTATTATTGCAATTTAACAGTAAAACTGTTTTCGAGGGTTTCCAGACTTGTAAGACAAAACATTTTGTCAATTCTGACACACAAACAGACAAAACATACCTCTTCTTGTGTAAGGAAGTTCTCTTTCTGTAAAGGTGTCAAGTAGCGCTCCATCAGACAGTGCAGGTCCTGAAAAGTTGAGAATTATTATTAAAATTTGCCTGACTCGATGTTTATACAGGAGTGACGCCGAACAAAATAGGAGTTTGTGTTAAATGTGTTTAATGTTAAATACTGACAACGAAGCCTCTTTCTAATGCATACTACTACTATTAGACATGGAATTTACAGTATGAAAAAAATGTGAAAGTATATGTGTGTATCATTCTCAGTATGAGGGCTGACTGGTTTCTAGGAAAAATGAAATAAAAAGAAAAAACAAACAAGAGCACTTACTTTTACGTAAGTCTTCTCCGTTTCTACTAACTCATTGATGACTTTGCGTAGTTTGTCTGCATGAGAGAGCTGTCTCTGAGTGCCAGCACCTGCTGATGACGGTAAAGCCGACACAGGGCTCTGCGACAGGGACGATGAAGAGGAAGATGAAGAGGATGACATGGGGCATTCCAGAGAATTCATGTCATGAAGACTGCGGCAGAAAGCAGGAACCTGCTCTGTGCTCTGCAGAGAAACAGATAACAAAAATCATTTTTGCATTACTTGTATTTTGCTTTATTCTTTGAGTCAGTACACGTCAGAATAAAACAGAAAATGAATACAGGCTTGGTATTTATTGAAGGAATGCATGTCATCCACCATCCTTTGAACCAGAGTTTTAAAAAAGAATCATCTTCCCTTAAAATGTATCATTTTCAGCTGTTTTGGTCAAAGTTTAAAAATGACTTTGAACACGATTGCACAAGTTGTATTAAAAATGACTTTCAGCTCAATGACTCATAACTTTTTTTCAGGTTAATTAGATGTGGTGGATGAGTTACAACCATTTAGGAGAGAAGGGGGAAGGGGGGTCAATTAGATGTAAAAATCTTGAAGAGGGAAGACTCCAAAAGTTAATTACCTGGAAATGTACAAATTTGTTCTCTGGTTCTTTAGTCAGACAAAGAACATGTGCAAGTGCACACACACACTCACACAGGTAATCAATAAACTAACCATCCATCCATCCATTATCTTTTACCCGCTTCTTCCGTTTTGGGTCACGGGGGTCGCTTGTTGCCTATGTCCAGCAATCACTGTGCGAGGGGCGGGGGACATCCTGGACAGGTCTCCAGTCCATTACAGGGACACATAAACAACCATTCACTCTCGCACTCACACCTAGGGACAATTTAGAGTAACCAGTCAGTCTAACATGCATGTTTTTGGTCTGTGGGAGGAAACTGGAG